AAAAAATGCTCCTGTGGGAAGGTTTAACTGTGAATTTAACTTCTTTAAAAGATATAGGGCTATTCTTATTATCTAGAAATAGTTATCTATTTCCTCTTGAGTGAACTTTGGTGGTTTCAAGGAGTCCATCCATTTCTGTAGTTGTTGAATTTATTGTCATAAAGTGGTTTATGGTATTCCCTTTGTATCTTTTAATGTCTATAGAATCTGTAGTATTTTTATCTCTCTCATTCCTTATATTGATAATTATGTCTTCTTTTATATTACTGTGATTAATCTGACTACAGTCTTATAAATTTTATTGAACTTCTCAAAAATCCAGCTCTCAGTTTCATTCATTTTCTCTATTGTTTTCTGTATTTTGTTGATTTTAGTTCTGATTTTTATTATTTCCTTTCTTTTACTTAATTTGAATTTAATTAAAAAGTTTTGTAGTTATTTAAGGTGGAAGCCATAGTCACTGTTTTGAGAACTTTTTCTTTTCTAATACAGGTATTTAGTGCTATAAATTTGCCCATAAGAAGTACTTCAGTGACATCCTGCAAATTTTGATAAATTGTTGTGTTTTCATTTTTATTTAACCCAACATATTTTGAATTTCTCTTTGGTTTCCTCGTTACCCATTAGTTACTGAGAAGTAGATAATTTAGCTTCCATATACTTGGGTTTTCCACAGAGATCTTTCTGATATTGACTACTCCTTTTATTTTTTCTGTTATTGACTTCTAATTTAATTTTTCTGTGGTCAGTAAGCATAGTCTGTATAACTCAAATTATTTTAAATTTATTGAGATTGGGGGGGGGCTAAAATATGGCCTATCTTGGTAAATATTCCATCTGTATTAGAAAAAATGTTTATTCTGCTATAGTTGGATGAAGTGTTCAATAAATGTCCATTAGATCAAGTTGGCTTTTTAAATCTTGTTATCTGCAATGATTTTCTGCTTACTAATTCTATCAGTTATTGAATTCTTATTAATTCAAGTTAAATGTAAAGGAAGACCGGTTTAGTTCACTAATCTCTCCTACTGTCTCTGTGTGAGAGAAGGTGCAGCATTGTTCCCAGGAGTGTCTTAGGACTCCTTAAAATTTGGTGAGGCCCTTTAAGGCACCCACATAAACATGCTGTCTAAATAAAAATGAAGGGCTTGCTATGAAAACACAGCTTCCTGGAAAATTCTCTTTCCATTCCCTTCATTCCTCTTCAACCTTTTGAGTTCCCTGTAATAGTTCTATCTATAAATTTTGGGGTTTCCACTGTTGGGTAATGGTATGGTGCTTTTATGGGGTTCATATCCTTTGGTATTATAATATTAAAAACAGATTGGAATATTTCTGAAAGTTCTGAAGAACTGCATGGAGAGACATTGATTGTCAAGTTTTTGAATACACAAATTAGACAAATGGTCTAGGGATTACCTGCATTCTGACATACATCTGAGGTTCAGGAGAATGGTTAAGTTCAGGGTAGCAAAACTCTTTGCTAAAAATACCATCTGGTTTTCTATTTTGTCCCTCACAGTTGACATAAAGAACTGAGAGATGACTGAGAGATGATTGAGAGCTAAATCTATTGTCTGTTTGCACTTCTACACATCTAGCTAAAATTATTCAAAATAATTTTTGTTATTTCGAATACCTATTTTAAAAATTTAGTTTGAATACTAAATTGATACATTTTTAAGCCTCACAAAATTGTTTATTTAGGTCAGAGAGATTTCATGTGAGTTACTATTTATATGTGCTAAAGATCCCTCAGGCAATGTCAGGCTGTTGCATGTGGACAGTTTCTTGAATTATAGCACAGAAACTTTAATACCTACCTCAGGAATAATAGGAGTCTTAAATAGGCAGTCATATTTACTAAAGAAACCTAGAGTTTTCTTAGATTGCCAACCTTAGTAAGACAAGAAATGTCAGGGTGATAGAGTTTAAGTGGCTCTTTTCAGATATGTTACACTGATTCTCTATATTTAAGACGCAAAACAGCCTTCCAGGAGCTATTTAATTAAGTGAAAGTAAGTCTAGTCCCTTTGGAACCGAATGGTTCAGTGAGCAAATACATATCAGTAAGTGAAGGAAGTGGGGGAAGTTATTATGTGCTTCATAGACATGGTGACACTTTATAACCCCATATCAGGGATCCTAAACAGTGATTGGTTGAGAAAATTATCAAACTGAGTTTAAATTTCAGCAGGTACAAAACTGTCACCCAAAAGTCCAGGACAGTGAGCCACTCTCAGTTTTCAAAGAGAAAGATAAGAAATCCTGGATTTTCAAAGTCTCTTTGAAGGCTTTTAAGGTAAGATGAAACATCCTCTTTACTCAGAACCAAATGATTCCTGTAGAAATTTGAATTTCAGAGAAGAAGCTGACTTGATTTTAAGAAGTGAATAACCTTTATTATTAGATTTTTTCTTTCCCTTTTGACTTGGCAAATCAAGACTATGTATTAAAGGATAACAGAAAATAATATGGTAAAGGATGCTGATTCCATCTAGCAAAATGTTGGATCACTGAAGAATAGGAATTTTTTTTATAGACACTATGTTTAAATATCAATTGCTAATAGTCAGAAAAAGTATATGTAAGATGAAGCAAATATTTTAAACCTAAAATATTAATGAGATGAGTGATTAGAATATTTTACACATTATTCATGAAAGCTCCATTACTGTTATTTTTATCTACAAAAACCATCTTTAAGAGTCTTGGATCTAGTTAAAGACATTTTAGTCTCATCGTTGTAATATAAGATGTGATGGCATTTAATAAAAAAGGAAAAAAATAATATCTTCCTCTCAAATAGTAACAATGGTGACATTTAAACACTAACTCTGTTAGGAAATAAACATGGATTTGAGAATTTTATTCAGTATATTATGGTACATTTATTTCAAAGTCTGGCTAATCCACTCAGTGATAAGCTCCATGAGGGTAGGACTCATGTCTATTTTCAGTATCTGGTCCACATTAGTTAGGTCTTCAAATGTTGAATGAATGACTGCATCTCAGTTTACATTTATTTTTCGTCCCTGAAAAATCAACCTTCAGCCTAAAAGATCAGGGGTTTTTTTGCCAACTGAGATGAGCATTTTTAAAGCTAGATTAAAATACTTCTACTTAGGATATCTGGAGATTCTGACTTCTATCACATACCTTTTGTCTTTCATGATATCATAACAGATTTGGAAAATGAAAGAGGTTTCAGGCTGACAAAACTGGGGCCATTTCTATAGCAGTCTTTTTAGCTATTTACCTATCTGTGAATACAGTGGCAAGTATCATGGTGTATTGTGCACTTGTTTTGGAGTGGATCTGAAAGAGAGCCAAAGTAGTCAGATTGCTGGATTGCAGTTTAGAAATGGGATGAACATAACCATGACCTTCACTACAGGTACCTTTCCAGGACACCATGTTTCCTCCAAATCCATGTAGACCACCCTATGGCAGAGTCTATGTAATAATTAGGTTTGGTGTGCCAAGTACCATAAAACCTCTGCTTACTAAACAGCTGCCCTTCAATATCTATGCCCCAGAGCTCTGCATTATACTTGTCCTGAGGTCACTTCAGCTTCATTTTTAATCCATAGGATTTTTGAAGGAGGTTTAGCTATTCTTGGCTTTCTACTGAATAGCCGTCAGAGTAAGCCGTTTTTTCCCTCTTAGAAAGCATGTCTTCTTTCCTGTGAGGAAATGCCAAAGATTCTATGACAGTTGATATTCACTGAGATTTTATTAAATTTCCATTATCAACATTAACTTCAATCAAAGCTTTTTTTATGACATGCATTATTGTAATCTATAAACTCAGTGGGAGTGCATGAAATAGGAGTAAAACTTTCTTCCTTTCTGTAGTAATTGTACCATTATATCAAGAAATCCAATTTTCAGTAACAGCAACTTAAATTTTGATTCACATGGACTATACAATGTCTGTTCCAATGTATCAAAATACAGATTTTGCCATTTCTGAATGTGAATTCTAACAGGAATAAAGGATCATATTTTTAGTAGCTCCACATAATATTTGCTATCATTTATTAAGGGATTTCTAAATATCCAGAACAGTGCTAGGTGTGCTGATATTAATAAGTATTTATTCACCAACAATATTCATAAAACATTTCTTTCTGTGCTATGTAGTGGGGTACAGTGATCACCAACACATTCTCCTAGGCTTCAGGAGCTCTCAGTAGGTCAGGGGAACATATAAGTAACCAGGCTATGTTAAACAGTGCAATATGCTACCGGTGAGGTTTGCAGAAGTTGCCAGGCATAAAAAGGATAGAGACACAACACCAAATACCCTTTGACAAGGAATCAGAGGATGCTGCTCAGAGAAGATTCTTCGGTAAGGTAATTGGGATAATCTTAAAGTATAGGTATTATCCTAGATGGAAGAAACAAAAGCTTAATAAAACTACTTAAATTTCTCAAGTTCACCCATCAAGTAGCAAAGGCAGAACTTGAACCTGGGTCTCTCAATACAAACTTCAAGTTCCTTCTACTCACTGAGGATCCTTGATGCTAATAATTTCTTTCCTTTACAGTGTACTGTAGCCCAACTTGTGTAGATGTGGAGTGGGGATGATAAATGATTCATCTTTTAACAATAACCTTAGAATTAGTTAATATTGATGAGAATTATTCAGAAGAAATGTTATCATCATCAATAATAGTAAGACAAAGTTATGGTTATGTCCTTTTTAACCACATGACTATGCCCCTTCATTGACATAGGCAGAAAAGTCTAGTTAGCCACCTCATTACTGAGCCTGATGATCCCCCTATATGTCTCTATGAGCACTTCACGTATGTTCTGGAACAGAGTCTTGAGAGCCTTCTTCTCATGTTGGATGTATATTCCTTGCCCAGGAACACGGCAAATGCTGACTGACCAAAATAATACCTTACCATGGTTATTTCTTTTGCTTTATAAGTAATTTTGTGCTGTTCTTTTTTCTTTAAAAACAGACTGATTAATCTTCCTAAGGAATATGAAGATAATTATATATTTTTGCATTTGGGCAGCAGCATGGGCTATTCCAGTAAGTATGTATTCCTCGGAAAATCTCACTTTGCTATCTCTTTTAACCTAATATTAAATAATATATATTTCCTTAAAACTGAAAATAAGCTGTGCCTAAACATTTAGATATACATGAAAGACTTCACAAGATGTCTTTGGGGGTTTCAGCAACCCAAATATGCACTCTAGTTCATGCTCCCATTCCTCTAACTGAAATGTGTGTCTTGTTAGATGGATTATGACTTTTAAAATTTATTCAGACTATTAGCTTTAGAGGTACATGGTTAATTAATTGACTTTAAATAAAAAATTAATAGAAAAAAGAGTATACTGATCATGATGAACACTGAGTAACACATAGAATTATTGAATCACTATATTTTGCACCTGAAACTAATATAGAATTAATTAACATGTTAATTATACTTGAATAAAAATTTATATGGTTCTTTAAAAAAATAAAATTCATTCAGGCTGTGCTTGCTTTGGCAGCACATATACTAAAACTGGACTAACCAAGAAGATTAGCATTGCCCCTGCACAAGATGACACACAAATTTGTAAAATTCATTGATATTAATTTACATTCAATGTCCAAAAGTCCTGGAGACTTTAGCCATCTTTGCTCATACCCTGTGAATTTCATTATAATATCAATGAAGCCTAAATTTTTAATGAAGTTTTCAAGGGATAAAAATAGGAAAAAATAATATTTTTCTAACATAGGAGAAAGTTAATGTTTCCCTCAGATAATTTTTTTAATGCTCACTGGGGAAAATTTGAAATATATAGATAAACACCAACAAAGAAAAATTTAGGAAAATTAAACCATTTGTAATTATATTATCCAGCTGCTATGGATAACATTTGGTATGTTTTCATAATATCAAACACTTTGGTATTTATGCAGCTGGGAATTTTCTCAACTCTTTCAAATGTATTCCTGAAGGACACAGAAGTAGCGTATTACTTAATTTTGTTTCTGCACTGGATCTGGTCACACCTGCTATTTTCTTAGGGGTTTGGCCACGATTATACTTGAGGTGGGTCTTGCGCTAGTGCAGGAGGCTTGTACAGAAACACCAAAAGTCTATCTCCTCCTTTTTATAAAAGACAATTCTCCTTGAGATAAGTGGTCTGGTTAACACTTCAACAAAATTGATAATACCATTGTGAAAAGTATCTGTATGCCCAGTTTAAATTCTACATAAGCTGTGTACACAAAATTAGAATGTTTTCAATTTCTAATATTTTCATTTTGGTAGGTTCCTCAAATCAAGCCATTGGACAGACATGCTGTTGACAAGTCTGCAAATTTAAATCTTCCAGAAAAAGTGAAATTGCCAATACAGGTATAGGATGTGTTTTCAAGCTGTTTTTAAATTCTTTTTTTTGGGGGGGGGATTTATTTATTTATTTGAGAGAGAGATCGCGTGAGAGAGCATGAGCGGTGCGAGGGGCAGAGGGAGAAACAGACTCCCTGCTGAGCAGGGAGCCCAATGCAGGATTTGATCCCAGAACCCTGGGATCATGACCTGAGCTGAAGGCAGATGCTTAACCAACTGTGCCACCCAGGTGCCTCTAAATTCTATTAACTTCCAGAAACTTGATGGTTTGTCTTTTCAGTTCGTTTTACTTCGAGATGGTATCTACAAATTATTTTCAATTGTTTCTCTTTTCCAGGATGAGTTAAATGCCAATGACACCACCAAAGAAAGTGGTGTCCTGCATGAAAATGAAAGAGGAAGGCAACAATATACCAAAGATGGTTACAAAGAAGAAAGAAATGGCTCTGAGTGGGCACAAATAGGAGGGAAAACTTCCACACATTCCTTGTTAGTAAATGAGGAGGGGAATAGTGAGGGTCAAAATGGGGTCACAGGAAAGCCAGAAACATATGGTTATGATGGGATAGATGGAAAAGAAGGTAACATCACAGCAAATGGTATCAGGGGACAAGTAAGCATCACCAACAATGCTGGAATAGCAAATGGGAGCAATATTAATAGAAATACTGATAAGAATTCAAATAAGGGAGGAAATGTTGGAGATGCAAGTCAGAGTGAGGATGCCACTGTTGTCCAAGATGGCCATCAAATAGCTGGAAGCAATAACAGTACAGGCCATGAGGATGAAATAAATAGGAATTATTGTAGAAATGAAGGTGATACAAGTGAAATAACAACTCAGAGAGAAAGCGAAAAAAATGCAAATCAGGAGGCAGGAGTAACTCCAGGGGAAAGTGGAGCTGGCAATGGAGAAGATGCTGGCCTGGAAAATTCAGATGGGAGTCCTAGTGGGAATGGAGCAGATGAAGATGAAGACAAGGGCTCTGGTGATGATAAAGGTGAAGAAACAGGGGATGGAAAAGAGGGCACTGACAACCGTAAGGGCCAAGAGGGTCAGCCTCATGGAAAAGATGACAATGACAATAGCTTAGGTCAAAATTCAATTAGTAGTGAAGATGATGGCCCTGAAGACAAAGAAGATCTCCATGACATCGGTGGAGACAACACCTCCAAGAGTGAGGAGGATTCTGATGGTATTCCCAAAGACAAAGATAGCCCAATAATAGAGGATGTGCAAAAGCTCAATTACAGAGAAAACAAAGCTGTGGAAAAGAAAATCACTGATGAATCAGAGCCAGCAGCTATTGGGAAGAGCCAAGATAAGGTTAGTTTGTGAAGCTGATTTCTTTCCATGGCAGTTTAAATTCTCCCCCTCCATTCACTGATGGTAACATGAAAATAAATCATGATAAGCATTCATGTATTTTTGCACCCAAATTACTTGAGTATTAGTGGGAAAGTTAATAACTGATGTACCATATAACTGCTCACACAAGTTCCAACCAAGTAAAAACATGAATGGGTTGTTATATAATCTAACCACCAGCGTTCTGTCAAGTGAATAAAGCACATTTTTACAATCAGAAGTTTAGTAAGTTTCTCTTAATAAAGAGAAATTCAGAAGCTGAATTTCTGTTTCTCTGGTCACCTTCCCCAGTCATCCTTAGACCAATGCAATTTTTCAGCACAACATCCAGTAACTAATCATTCTTTTCTCCATCCTTCCACAGGCAATAGAAATGGAAGGTCCCAGAAGTGGCAACAGAAACAATATTACCAAAGAATCTGGGAAAGTCAGTGAAGATAAAGAGAGTAAAAGACAACCTGGAATGGCCATGGGCAAGGGAAATGTCAAGACACCAGGAGAGACTGACAACATTCAAGGGTCTAGTCAGAAATCAGAACCTGGGAATAAGGTTGCACACAGCAAAACTGGTAGTGAAAGTAATAGTGACGGATATGACAGTTATGAGTTTGATGACAAATCCATGCAAGGAGATGATCCCAACAGCAGTGATGAATCTAATGGCAATGATGATGCTGATTCTGAAGGTGACTATAACAGCAATAGCCAAGGAGATAATGGTTATAACTCTGATGAATCAAAAGACAATGGCAATGACAGTGACTCAAATGGAGGAGGTGATGATGACAGTGATAGCACATCAGATGCTAATGACAGTGATAGTAATGGCAATGGTAACAATGGGAGTGATGACAATGGCAAATCAGAGAGCAGCAAAGATAAATCAGACAGCAGTGACAGCAGTGACAGTAGTGACAGCAGTGACAGCAAGTCAGACAGCAGTGACAGCAGTGACAGTAGTGACAGCAGTGACAGTAGTGACAGCAAGTCAGACAGCAGTGACAGCAGTGATAGCAGTAACAGTAGTGATAGCAGTGACAGCAAGTCAGACAGTGACAGCAGTGACAGTAAATCAGACAGCAGTGACAGCAGTGACAGTGACAGCAGTGACAGTAGTGACAGCAGTGATAGTAGTAATAGTGACAGCAGTGACAGCAGTGACAGCAGTGATAGCAGTGACAGCAGTGACAGCAGTGACAGTAACAGTAAATCAGACAGCAGTGACAGCAGTGACAGCAGTGACAGCAGTGATAGCAGTGACAGCAGTGACAGCAGTGACAGTGACAGTAAATCAGACAGCAGTGACAGCAGTGACAGTGACAGTAAATCAGACAGCAGTGACAGTAGTGACAGCAGTGACAGTAGTGACAGCAGTGACAGCAGTAATAGTGACAGCAGTGACAGTAGTGACAGCAGTGATAGTGACAGTGACAGTAAATCAGACAGCAGTGACAGTAGTGACAGCAGTGACAGTAGTGACAGCAGTGACAGCAGTAATAGTGACAGCAGTGACAGTAGTGACAGCAGTGATAGTGACAGTGACAGCAAATCAGACAGTAGTGAAAGCAGTGACAACAGTAATAGTGACAGCAACAGTAAATCAGACAGCAGTGACAGCAGCAACAGCAAATCAGATAGCAGTGACAGCAGTGACAGTAGTGACAGCAGCAATAGCAAATCAGATAATGACAGTAGTGACAGCAGTGATAGTGACAGTAAATCAGACAGCAGTGACAGCAGCAGCAGCAAATCAGATAGCAGTGACAGCAGTAACAGTGACAGTGATAGCAGCGACAGCAGCGACAGTAGCGATAGCAGTGACAGCAGTGACAGCAGTGACAGTAGTGACAGTAGCGACAGCAGCAACAGCAGTGACAGCAGTGATAGTGACAGCAGTGACAGCAGTGACAGTAGTGACAGTAGCGACAGCAGTGACAGTAGCAATAGCAGTGACAGCAGCAATAGCAGTGACAGTAGCAATAGCAGTGACAGCAGTGACAGTAGTGACAGTGACAGCAGTGACAGCGACAGCAGCAATAGCAGTGATAGCAGTGATAGTGATAGCAGTGATAGTGACAGCGACAGCAGCAATAGCAGTGACAGCAGTGATAGTGACAGCAGTGACAGTAGCAACAGTGACAGCGACAGCAGCAATAGCAGTGATAGCAGTGATAGTGACAGCAGTGACAGCGACAGCAGCAATAGCAGTGACAGCAGTGATAGTGACAGCAGTGACAGTGACAGCGACAGCAGCAATAGCAGTGACAGCAGTGACAGCGACAGCAGCAATAGCAGTGACAGCAGTGATAGTGACAGCAGTGACAGCAATAGTGACAGCAGCGACAGTAGCGACAGTGCATCTGACAATGATGAGAGTCACAGCAAGAGCAAGTCTGGTAATGGCAAAAATGGAAATGACAGTGAGAGTGACAGTGAGGACAGTGACAGTAATCACTCAACCAGTGATGATTAGAACAGAAGAAAAACCCACAAGATTTGTTTTTTTTTAAGTCTAGTGAGTAATTGATAGGCAGTGACGATCCCCAAGGAAGGAAAGGAAGGGGAGACATCGACCGGAGACGCCTACATTTATAGGAACAATGAGAGCAACGAACTGCCAGATTTGGAACCGAGTCCCCACACCCTCAGGAGAGAATCTGAACGCAGGCCCTTTGGTGTGTGCATATGAAAACACGTTGTGAAAAGACTTGTTTATAAAGCGTACATCGAACATGAAGAACAAGTAAAATATTCTTTAATACTTTACCCAGAAACCTCAAGTAATCACGTACGTTGTAACTTTGCCTTAAATGCCAAGTGCTTTAGGGAATTGTAGCTTAGAAACAACCTGTGGCAACAACCTGTGGCCTTCATCTTTCAGTAATTACACATTCTGGATAGAGGGTCTGCTTACTGCTGAGGAAAAGGATGCTGTTACCATGATATCCAGCTCGGCCACGGATTCGTTTGCTTGTTCTAAGGAGGAAATACACTTGTCACATGGAAAAGAAATGCAGCAACAACGGAACCTAAATGGACCATGGGGATAATCTTTGTAATTATTGAATGGATGGAATAATTTCAAATTAGAAAAAAATTTGAAGAGTGCTAGTCAGAAAATAATTCAGGGCTGGTTTAAATAACAAAATCTGGTGTATAGTATGACAATCCTGCAAAGCACTGGAAGTTTTGCATAATGTCCCTGAAGCTACCGACAAATCGATGCAGCGCTTAGAACAGTATCCTGCCTCCAGCAGCCACTTTCCAAATATGAACAAAGAAATGATACACAAATGAAGGATTCTTAAGGCGGGGTTACTCTTTGAACTCTATGTTCAGAGCTCTGTTAAGTGGAATCAGTATTTGTTTTCCACCACATGTCAAACTTGGCTCCCATTTCCCTTGTAAACACCCACGTGCCCAAACTTCCAAATCCGTCTCTGAGACACCCTTTTCACTGTCAATTGCCTTAATAAAGCCAACAGTTGCTGGTAGGTAATGCTTTGGAAATTACTCTTTTTTGGGAGTCATATAATGCAGCTGAAATCTGAGCATTGATTGTTCTGCGTTTGCATGAATGAAGGTAATTCTTAATTTTGAGATGAAGCCCAAACCCTAGAACATGAGGATCTTAAAGGTGTATGCAACCAGATATTTAATAGGGTGGAGGTAAAATTCAATATCCAAACTAATATACTTTTGAGAGTGAAGGGGGGTGCTATCAATAATTACTCGGGGACAGCAGGTGTAAACTGAGATTGTTCAGGGATCACGAGAGATACAATAAACATTGCCATAAACCTTTAAGGTATTTTTCAAAATTTAGAAGAGATGATTTGTAATTTCCCTCTTTTCCTATTTAGGCAATTATTTTAGATTTATTTTAATTCAAATGTAAAAACCTGTGTAAGAAAGTTTTGAATGCGACTTCTTTGATGCTAATCTCAACCAGTCATCAGTTGACGATTTATTTTCTGACATTATGCATATTTTTTACAGAGTTTTAGTAGGGTTTTCCCCCCATCTTCTTTCTCCTTTAATACAAGAATTTCTTAGTTGAAATCAATATTACAAAGAATATTGCTGAAGGCTTTAAAGATGCTACTATTCATAAACTATCTGGTAACTCATAAAACTGTAACATTTCAGGTTTTTACTATATCATAATCATGCAAATGACTCCAAACTTCTTTCCTTAAAATAAGCTCTAGATTTTTAAAGTCCTTTAGGCTTCAGGATGTTTGTTTTTGTCTTTTTTTAATTTGCAAAGTGTGGCTTCTAGTACCTGTCTCACCTATTTTAAGAGGTTGTTATGAGCTTAAATCAGGCAATGGATGTGAAACTCTTTGTAAATTGTACAAGATATGTAATTTAAAGGGATAAGAATTTTGGTGTTATAATAAACATCTATTTATGTGACTATTCACAAGAAAAATTCCCTTAGTCTAAATGGGTTTTTGCAAGTAATTATTCCTTCCATCACATTTTTAAAATTTAGCTGTTTTTAACCAAAAAGATAATATCTTTATATTACAAAAAAATCAAATAGTATGAAAAGGTATTAAAAATATTAAATCTTCATCATCCCAGATTTCCAATCTTCTACTTCTCTTCCATAGAAGGAGTTCTCATTACTAATATCTTGTGAAACTTTCCAGAAATATTCTATGTACATATAAGCACATATATTTCCCTTTTAAAAACACGTGGAAGTTTACTATACACCATGTGCTTATCTTACTCTTTTTAACCAAGAATATGCCTTGAATACTGGTTCATAGCACAAAGACTGACATCCCCCACCCCGCCACAGTTGTGTTGTATTTCATTCTATGAACATAGGTATTTAATCTGTCCTCTTTTTTCCATCACTTTCTAAGCCATTTCTGTTCCAATGAGAGACTCTGTAGGTAAAAAGCATGGGTCATAGCCCAGGTTGGATAAAGTCCCAACCAGTTCTTATAAAGACTTCATCTTAAGAAGTATTTGGGGGGATAAAGGAGATGCTCAGAAACTGGGGTTAATGTCAGAAACAATGAAAGAAGACTATGATCCTGATTTTCTTATATAATACCTACATTGACCTTTGGTTCTTTGAGGGAAAAATAAAAGTGACCTCTTCAAGGACATCTCAAGAGTAGATCCTTCAAATATAAGAAGTCTGGTATTAGAAAACAAAATCTGCTTCGTGTTATTTTCTGGAATAAGATTAGTAAGCTATCCGTTAACATTGCCCATGGGAGCAGTATTTTTTGAACTGTAGGTTGCCACTCATTTAGTAGGTCATGATATCAATTTAGTGGCTCATGCCCTATATTTTGTAAAATGAAAGAATAAAAAGGAAAAATCTTGGTGTATCATATGTAACATTTTATGAAACCTGACAATATTTACCTCTACATACATACATACTTACATACATAGTATGTCTAAGTTTGCATATTCTAGGACATGATGTAAAATATTGTTCTGACTCAGTATAGTAAAAAAAAGATTTGAAAGCCATCGATTTAGAAAGCATTATAAAACATTATTGCTGTTAGTAGTCATTTCATATTTACTTTCCACATTAACTTTCCTCTTTACAAACCTATAAATTTCCCACTTTTGAAGAGGTAGTTAAAAAAAAAAAAAGAAAAAGTAGTGTACTTGTGGAGGAGTGGGAAAAGTGGTGGTGGGGGATGGGTTTCTGCATTTATTTGTGCTACAGTGGAAGAAAGTAGGTAACACTGTCATCTTTTGAACAAGAAGCTGTCATTGTGGTGCTGGTGACTTTGCTGGGGATTCAGATTTCTTTTTGGTTGCATGGGTTACTCCGTATCTGGCTGAAGATGAATGATCTTCAAGTGGACTCTCATCAGTTGTATTATCCTTTCCACTTAACCCAGGAATTCCTTCCACACCTGCTCATACCACAAATCAGGAAATGTAGTAAGGGCTTTGTTTGTTTATTTATAAAATATATTTCTTAAAAAAGGTTATAAAAAGATAACCTTTAGAGAGTCCAACCTAACCATATGAACACATTTTAAATTATTAACTGAAATGGGATTTCCCAGAAGTCAAGATTGCTTTATGGTTTGTAATGGAAGTTTTGAAAAACTTTAGACCAAAATAGCTAGGAACAATTTTCCTTTCCCTAAAAGGAGTAGGGATAGAATAGAATAGTTCAGTCATAGATGAAAATATCATTGTGTTCTCACAGTGGTCTATTCACTGCTGCTAGCAAGCAAATCCTCTAGAGAATGAAACAAGTCAACAACACGATGTTCCCAACAGGGATCTTGGGTTCATATGGTCAAAAATAAAAGTCAATCCCTACAGGGCTCTCATGTAGCTTAGAAAAATGGTGTAAAGTCTAAAGATCACCAACATGTTAGACTCTGTGTGTTTTCTATTAGTTTGCGCAGTCCCAACTCTGCTGAAACACTGTATTTACAGAGAGCTTTATCAGAAGGTGCTTCTCTTACTCCCAAGTCCATTATTTTGGGCTTTGACACTAGCCAACCTCCTCCCTCCTTTACCCTTTTCTTCTTTTCCTCCCTAGTATTTTTCCCTTCAAGGAGATGAAGAAATTGTGGCGGGGCAATGCTTCGTCCTTGGCAGAATTTAATTCCTGGGTGTCTTCCTGTCTGAGGTCCCAGACAAACCACATGGTCAGGACTGCTAGGCTTGAGTTGTTATCACTGGCCCTTTCTCCTGCTCCCAGGTTTCAGTTGCAACTAGCTGGGACCCAACTCCCACTCTTTAGTATTCTCCTTAGTTGAAACCACTGAATTTTTCCCTGCTATCCCAACTCCATCTCCTTATCCTCAGACCAATCTGAAGAAGGCAGAAGATACTTAGGCTGTAATAGACCAACATTTAGGCTTGGCATATTTGCTTCTTGTCTTATCCTAATTCCAGTAAGTAGAACCTTATGCTGTCCCCAAATGACAATCCCCTTTAATCCTTCTAATTGGCTTCTGCATAGCTTTCTCCTCATGATCTTGTATACTGATTAGAACTGTCCCAGCCCAGTCAGCCTAAGATCACCAGCAAACCTGTTGTCTGATACAATTGGGTTTACTGACTCAATGAAAAGAGACTGTATGTAAGAGCAGCCTCAGATATCTTGGCAAACAAAGAAAAAGAAAGAATTATTACAGGATTTTGGGAAAGGGTGAAATTAAGCAATATTTAAATGAAGCAGTGTTCAGGAGGCTCAAAGCAAAGCAGTACTGTGGCTAATGGACCCATCATCAGGTTTGGACTGTGAAGTAGACTTGGGTTCCCATGTCCTTGTAAAGTGCAAAGTTAAGATGGGTGTGGACTGTTGTACTCAGAAATCCCTTATATGCATCTCTGCATCGGGGCTATAAATTGAGACTGATTCTTTCTGGCCAAGGGCCTTAGACCTTTCAGCAAGATTGGGGTGTTTTATTACTATTTTTTGATATATTTTTAAACAGCAGAGTCCTGATAATCTATGAT